TAATTTTAATGAAAATTTACAGCCTTTGGATTTCCATTCATTCATTGTTGCAGTCCTCTCCCTGCCCAGTGCCAGCCCCCCGCCCCAGTTCTCTTTGAAAAGTAAAATTCTTTCATTATTATACAATCCCTCCCTCCAAGTCTACTCCACTATGCAGCCTTCATTCTGGACTCCTGTCATGACAATAATACCTAATAATATATCCCTTTTAAACAGTTCTCTCCCTTATTTGTTTCAATGCAATGTACATAATTTATCCCATCTTTTTCAATCTCCCCCCAACCCTGATGTCAGTCCCATTTTACAATAGTCACATTATGCAGTATTTAAAGCCAACTTGCATTTGTGACAGTCCTCTCTCAATATACTGCTCTGTTTTTGTATGATCTTCAGAAAGATTGCATGTGACACTAGTGATATTGTTTGATAATTTTCACATTCTGTAGAATCACCATTTTGGGGGAATGGGAATAAATAAAGATCTCTCCCAGTGAGTTGACCTGGTAGCAGCTGTCCTCCAGATTTCTTGACCCAACCTGGTGAGCACATGTGCCTTTTTATGTCGAAATATCTCAATTGGTATTCCCTCCATTCCTGGGGCCTTGTTGTTGTTGTTGTCATGTGCCATCCAGTCATCCGTGACTCATAGTGACCCTATGTACAACAGCTCCGAAGCCTGCCCTATCCATAGCCAGTGTCACTGACCCTGACAAACCTACCCCCATTACCCCAGTTACTGTAGTAACACATCTCATCTGGGGTCTTCCTCTGCTGCACTGTCCTTCCACCCTTCCAAGCATGATGTCCTTCTCTGAGGACTGGTCCCTATTGATCATGTGCCCAAAGTACATGAGATTGATCTACAAAATCCTTGCCTCAAAGAGAAACTTGGTTTCATCCTCCTGAAGCCTTATTTTTTTGCCTGTTCATTCACATAATTGTTTTATTGGTGGCATATTATACAGTCTTTGCTCAAATAGCCTTTACAACTATCTCTCTGGTGTAAGTGCTTTGAGAATGTTAAGAAATAATAATTGTATTAGATAAAATGTAAAGACTAGTGCTTCCAACCCAACAGTGTCTGTTCAAATCTTCCACCTGCTCCACTGGAAAAGAAGAACAGCCTCCTCCTGTGCAATTTATTGCCTGTGAGACCTCCCTGAAGGGTCGGCTAAGGGGTTAGTTCTGACTAAACATCAACAACACACTTGGACATTACCTATATTAACTTGCTTAGCTTTTACAACAATGCTATCAGGTTTCTTTCAGAGTTGAAACCAAAAAGGTAAGTTTCATAGGTGAACAAACTGAGGCCAGAAGCGGTTGAGTACTTGGTTTTGAATAAGCAGCTAGGATATGGAGAGATGGGATTAAAATGCAGCTGCTTTATGTGACTCAAAATCTACTCACCTAATCGCAATTTAACACTGGTCTCCCTCTGGAAGCTTTTGAAAACATCTTATAATCATCATCATTACGGATGTCGTTGCTGTGTAAAAAGGACTGCTGTTAGGTGCCATCAGGTTTCCCAAGACTATCACAGCCCTGTGAACAACAGATCTGAACCTTATCTTTTCCTGTACTATCTTCACCATCTTGATATACTGGAGCTCATTGTTACAGTCACTGCATCAACACATTTTGTTTAGAGTCTTTTCTCCTGTTCCTCAACCTCTTCCAGAATGATGTCTTTTTTTTCCCCCCCAAGGACTGGCCTTCCCTGACAACATGCTAAAGTATATAAACATATAGGTTAAAATATAGAGAGATTTCATAAATATATGTACATATATAGATTAAAACAAAGAAGCAATGCATCTCTCTGATCCTCAGGCAACGCCAGCTGCCGGATACCCCACCCTATTCTGCATCAGACTCGTGCTCTCCTCCGCAGATCAAAGGTGAGTGAGATCCACTCCAGCACACCTTACACTGTTCTTCTTGGACCTTGAGCAGTAAGAAAGGCGCTTCTCACTTGTGTCTTTCCTTAGGTCCATGCTGCCAAACTCTGATGCCGACTGATGGGAGGACCCCAGCTCCCTTCGTCCACCCTGCAGCGGCTCCTGGGATGGTGCCATCTCAGCTGCTACAGAGCATGTCTGAAATTAGCAACTCTGACCATATCCATGGTGGCTTTCACAACTGCTACCCACACACCAATCACCCTGCCACTCCCCTGGACCAGTCTGTGTCATCCCATCTGGAGATAGGCTGTTCTTATCATCAGCAGCCCCTGTGCCACAGCCCTGGGTAAAATACAAGACCTTAAAGTAGAAAAGACCGCAAGAGCCAGCAGGGCCCTAGGGTAGTGACAGTGGCGAGAATGAGCAGTGGACGCCTCTCCAGCAGATGGCAGTGTTGAAACACACATCAGATATGTCAAGACCCTTACAGTCTTTATTCTATAGTCTTTAGTTAAAGTCCTCAGTGGTGATTGATTTTATAAGACACAATGTATGGGAATGATTGCAAGAAACACAATGTGAATGAAAAAACACACACCACCCTCTAATGGGAAGGTGGGGGGCTTTTGAAAGAAAGGAAGACCCCTAGGGAGGTGGATGATACATTGACTGTAACAATGGGCTCAAGTTTATCAGAGATGGCTAGGATGGCGCAAGATAGAGCGAGGCTCTGTGCCACTCTTCATGTAGTTGCTATTAGTTGTATTTGACTCAATGGCACCTAATGACAGCAACAATGGGTAAGGAGCTGCACTGTCAATGCAAAGGCAAGCGGTTTGAATCTACTAGCTACTCTGAGGGAAAGATGGGAAGTTGTGTGATTTCTTGCCTCTGAAAACCTGCTGAAGGGTCAGCTATGAGTTGATTCCAGCTGTGTGGCACATAACGGTATGGGCTCAAGGGTGTCAGAGAGAGTGAGAATGGTGCAGGACAGGAAAACATTGACCTCTGTTGCTCAGAGGTTCATTGTGAGTTATAGTTGACTTGATGACACCTAACAACAAAAACAACAGGTCTGTGGTCCTCATTCAATGAAAAGTTAAAGTGTCAGAAATACAGAGAGAGATTCTGGGTGATGGAGGAAGGACTATTTGTTTTTGTATCCTCAGCTAGACTATTGGTCTGACAGGTGAATTTTGTATCCACTAGAGAAAAACTAAGTTTCAAGCTATCTGGGTTCAAAGAATTTTGAACTTTAATTCTTTAGTTGGCATTAGACTTAGAAGAGTCCAGAGGGAAGACCCAGGGTGTGTGTGGGGAGGGTAAAGAAGAGCCTAACCTTCACTCTGGCTTCTTGATTTCAGAGATTCACTGCCCCCAACCAAGAGGAGGCGGCACCCCCAGGGGCTGGGAGACTCCGAGGACTGCGGCGCGTGGGCCCACCACTCCAGACCAAGTGAGCAAGCCTTAGTCGCTCAGTCAAGGCAGACTTTTGAACAGTTCTAAAAATTTTTTCTCTGTTATAGAAGAGAAAGGAAGGCTGCATTCTAGATGTTTATGTCCTCCTCTTAAGATAATGTTTAGATAATGAAGGGGAGCTCTGGTGGCCTAGTGGCAAGGAGCTGCAACTACAATCCCAGAGGCGCATGGTTCGAATCCACCAGATGCTGTGCCGGGGAAGGAGGGACAATCTCCTCCTGTACCAGTCAGATCTGATTTGATGGTACACGCACACAAAAATAGTACAATTAAAAAAAATGTTTAGTCTTAGGTAAGTCATACAAATGTTACCAATAAAACAGTGTTCTCTTTTTTGGGGAGCTGGGAAAGTGAACTACCTGTGTCTTCTGGGCCCTAGGCAAGGCAGATAGCCTGTTGTTTAGTCTAGTGAAATGCTTTTCAACCTTAATGTGTCAGCAGGAATAGCAGGAGGATCTTGTGGAAACGCTGGTTCCAATTCAGTAAGTCTGAGGTGGGGTCTTAGATGTTGAGTTTAACAAGCTCACGGGCCATGTCCTTTTAAGGGGACACTGAAGATGCTATTTTGCACTTTGTGAAGCAAGGTTTGAAAGGATTTTGCTTCCAAGAACAGAGCAAGAAGCTGGGAAGCTCTGCTTTCTTAGTCTTCATTTCAAATTGGCAGGTTCCCAGGAGGTCCCCTCAGTTGTGTAAAATTATCTTAGAAGTTGTTTCTCAGAATCATCCGACACTGAGGTGATCAGCCTGCCTTGTACTTTGTATATAACATGTGGTACAACACGCTTTGAGTTTAGGGCCAGACTGGTTCAAGTACAGAAAAGATCAGTTTATAAGGAAATTCCATGACACTGTTGTGTGCCATAATAGAGTTCGGAATATCTCACAGCTGACCCTTCAGCATGTTTTCAGAGGCAGAAAATCACAGGGGAGGAGATTATTCATCTATTTCCTATGGGATAGCTGGTGGATTTGAACCTCATGCCTTTGGGAGTACAGTGCATCTTGTTACCACTAGGCCACTAGAGGTCCCTACTAGGGGATAAGATTATACCCCAGGTTAAGCTAATAGTCACTGTAAGTGCTCAGACAGTGTAAGTAGTGCTCCCAAATCAGGACACCAAAGTTACTTTTCTTCTCCTCCCTGTGTGTCAGCTGGGCAAGGCACCTAAGGTTTCCATTTAGCTCCCTCAGCCCTGCTCCTATCCTCTCACTGGAGTCCACAAATACCTGAGTTTTACCCTGTGCAGAGGAGGTCTATGTGCCTTCATCATGTGAGGAGGGAAAGAGGAAGTCTAAATTGCATGGCTGGCTGGCTTTGCCCCTCAGAGCTGCATGGGGAGACTTGGTCCTCTGAGAACTGCAGAGCCTGCTACTCCTCTTAGGGACAACAGACTTAAATTCTGGCACTGACTAGGGGAGGCCTTCAGTGGATGATGACTTCTCCACAGCCTACCCTCCATGTCATCGCCACCACCTAGAGATGTGTCATAATTGCACAAGCATCTAGACTTTACTAAGCCTTTTATTACATCCTTTCCTTTTACATGGATCTACTAGGCTGGAAGTTACTTGCTTTTCTTTTTCATTCTTTGAAAGTAAAATGTCAATTAAAGCCCCCTTTCAGCAGTGTAAGCAGTTCTGGGGGCCTATTGTGGTCCACTAGTGCTGTTAACTGAAAGGTGAGCAGTTTGACTCCATGGGAGAAAAATAGACCATCTTCACTCATAAGATTTGCAGCCAGGGAAACCAGTGGAGCATGGCTGGGTCAGAACACACTTGACAAAAGTGGCCTGAGTTTGGGTTTGGGATCAGTAAAGCTGAGCTCTCCACAACCCTTCTTACACAGGTTATCCCGATCTCCTTGGGAACCCCCTACATTTACCCGGCAACTTTTCAATGATTTGCAAAAATAAAAGGCTGAGTAAAATTCCCAGCCAGACGAGAGAACCATCTGTTCAGTCCCCTCCAGATGCACCAGCTCACTGCAGGATGCTGGGCAAATCACACAAATCCTCTGAGAGTGTCCTCACCAAGCCAGATGCTGTTCAGATAACTGCGGGCAGTTCAGCAAACGATTTATCCTTCAGTGACTTTCTTCTTCCTGTTCCCTCAGAAGATTTTCACAATTTCCCCAGAACAGCCATGGGAGAATAACCAAAATGTCCCAGCAAATAGGAAATCCTTAGTCCCTTGTTAAAGCCCTATTAAAAAAAAATCACTGAAAAGCTGGCTAGGGTTAACCGATTTCAGATAGTAGCTCTAGTATGAAACCAAACATATTTCCAGGATCAAAAATAATAAAAAAGATAAAAGGCAAGACCTCATTACTCTAGATACTATGAAACTCTGGTGATGTTATCTGTGGGGAGCAGTGCTGCTTCCCAAACGCTGAGCCTCTGGTGTTTCGAATGCACCAGTGGGTCAGTGGGATAAAAATGGGCAATCTCCTCCTGTGCAATTTACAGCCTCTACAAACACTCTGGAGGGTCAGCTACGATTGATTCCAACTGAATGGCAATGTGTTTGAGTTTTGTTTCTAGTTATCATGTTTTAACTACAGTTTATGGTTTCAGTGAAAAGTTTCCCAGTAGAGAACCCCAGTTTGACCATATAGAGGCCACAGGCTTGTCGCAGAGGTCCAAGGGAGATGACACACCAGTGGAGAAAGAAGTTGATGCCAGTCTTGTAGGCAGAGCTGGGATTGCAGGGTTTTGATGGGAGAAAATATTCTAAATACTTCATTAACACTTTTATGGTGACTTTCTCCCAAGTGGTATCCTTTGGCAAAGGCTCCAACATCCCCATTTCTAGGGCTCACACTGTGATATTATGAGGTTGGTGTGGACAGATGTGAAATTTTCCATGAATAGAAAGTAATAAGTGGACCTCAAATTTAAAAGGGATTCCTGGATCCTGGCTCTTTGGTAGAAAGATGGGCAATTTCCTTCCAAAATTAACAGCTTCTGGGAAACCTGCTGTTGGATCAGCTATGAGTTGGTTCTGACTGGGTGGCAGTGAGTGTTGCTATTGTTATTAAGCTTTAGTATTGAGGTCTAGCTTGCTTGGAATGCAGCATGGGCTTGTGGTTCCAGTTCTGTCCAGGTGCTCTCACTCCCTGATCACTCTTTCTGGGGTTAATGTTCCTGTATTCTAGGACTGTGATGGAGAAAAGCGAGAAGCGAGGAGTGCATGTGTCTTTGAGGACACTGTGCCCTGGCCGCTGCTGGCCCTCCGAATCAGCATCTGCAGTAGTGGCACCAGCCTTTGGTCGCTTTTCTTGCTCTCATGCTTGAGCGGGAAAGAGCCTTAGTTGATGCTCAGTCAGGCATAGAGTAATTAACTATTTCACCTCAGCAAGAGTTATCCTGGAGGCCAAGAACAGAAGTGCTTGCCAACGTTTAGAAATAACTGAGTCACCTAAGTTGAAACAAGTATGCTGGGAACAACTAAAGGCATCATTTAAAACCTCTTCCTGGTGGCAGACACTGAGTACTGCATTCTGCACACATTACCTCAGCCCTTGCAGCTATCCTGTTGATGTTATGTGCCATCGAGCCACTTGCGACTCATAGCGACCCTATGTACAAGAGCTCTATATGCTCTTCTATCCTGTGTCAACCTAGCCATCTCAAACACACTTATTCCCACCCCTCCAGTCACAGAATCTATCCATCTCAGCTATCCTAGGAACACCAAATATACATATTTGCTACTTGCTGTTTTGCAAATAGGGAGAGTGGAACTCAGAGTTTATATTATTTTCCTAAGGTTGTACAGAGAGCTCTGGTGGCCTAGTGGTAAGGAGCTGGGCTGACACATGATTTGAAGCTACCAGCTGCTCCATGGGAGAAAGATAGACAATCCCCTCTCGTGCAAGTTACTGCCTCTGAATATCTGCCATGAGTTGGTTCCAACTTGATGGCACCTAACAACAATGAGGCTGTATAGCCACTAAGTACAGAGTTGTACTTAAGCCAGGGGCCATATGACTCCAAACTAAAAACTTTTGACCCTTTCTTTCCCCTCTCTTCATTATGGGAGAGAAAGATGGAAGCCGGTAGCTTTCAGAGCAGAGCATGAAGTGCCCTTCACATTTCACACATCAGGACTCTCAGCAGAGGAAGGGGGGGGGGAATACTCTTTGGAGGTGTTAGAGGAATCCTGAATAAAACTTAGTTCAAACTCACTGCTGGTAAGTCAGTTCCGAGACATAGAAAGCCTCCATTGGGATCCAGAGATGGTAAATCACAATGGGAGGACACTGCCCATCCTCCTCTGACAGAGCTTCTGGTCGATGCAAACCACCTTCGGGTTTAGCAGTACAACTCACTACGGACGACATTGCCAAAAGACGCGCTACAGAAACAAAACTAAAGGTATTTTGCTCACCTGGTGTTTAACCGTGATTCACAAGAAAAATACATTATGTCCAACCACAACTGAGTGGATCGAGAAATTATGGAATGGAATACTATGCAACATGCAGAAGCAATGATTTTGTAAATTACTACCTAACTTGGGAGGGACTGGGAAGCATTATGTTAAGTGAACTCAGTCCCATAAAGACATATACTGCGTAAGACCTTTATTGTAGAAATAGATAACTGGTAAAACGTGTATGAGGATCCAAGGGGAGAGGGTAGGAGCAGAGGGGTGAGGATGAAGAGGGGGGTAATCATAGGGTTGTACACTTTGATGGATAGAGGGAGGGATGAGTAAAGGAAATGGGAAAGATCTGGTATAAAAAACAATGTATACTAATTTTGTAAGTAAACCAATATAAAATAAAATTTTATTTAAAAAAGAAAAGAAACCCCCAAGATAACATCATTAGTTAGGGACCTACTCAGTGGAAGGATGAAAAGAGAAGGGTTAGATGAGTTGAGGGAAACCCAGACCTTTCTTCCTGTTTATTATTATTATTATTAATTTTAATGAAAATTTACAGATACTTTGGATTCCCATTCATTCATTCATTGTTGCACTTTTCTTCCTGCCCACCACTCCCTCCCCAGTTTGCTCTTCTCTTTGAAAAGTAAAAGAAAAATTCTTTCATTGTTATACAATCCCTCCCTTCAAGTCCACTCCACTATGCAGCCTTCATTCTGGACTCCTGTCATGACAATAATACCTAATCACATATCCCTTTTAAACAGTTCTCTCTCTCCTCCTGTTTTTTCTAAGCATGCTCCCCAGGCACGAACGTGTTTCTGCTTTGTTGCTCACAGCTTGCACCTGGTCATATGGCCCTCTACCAGTTCTTTTTCTCATCTACTGTTAGGCCTGAGAGACGACAGAGGATATAAAAGAAAGGGGAAGCAGCAAAGGCAGAAAATAGTATTTGACATAAAAATCACTGTAGTGGTACCATTTAGAGAGGCATACTCAACATAAACAATTATTGCAAAGATTATGCAAAAACCGTAGGTCATTCTCCTGAAATTGCCATTTTGGGGCCTTTCTGATCTGCAAAAAGGCCAGTTTCATCTGGATGGTATTACTACTCACAGACCTTTGCTGTGACTTTGTTTTTGGTTTTAGCTGCTGAAAGTGTTTTCGCTTCTATCACCTTATGCTCTCTGCTTGCGTACTCTTGTAAGACAGGCAGAACATTTGTTTTTAATTTCTGTTTTGCAGAGGAGGGAAGTAAGGCACTAAGTGAATAAATAACTCCTCTAATTCCAAAGCTTGATGAACCACAGAATCATGGGCCACGAGGGGCTTGAAACACATTAGGAGGTGTTGCTTGCAATTAGTTAAAAAAAAAAGAAGAAACAAAATTCCTCATTCTACCTTCAGCAAAAAGAGAAAAGGGGCAGTATGCCTATATACTATAAGCCAAGACTGGACACTGGGACTCAAATCATATCAAGACCTGGGCACATTTGCTGTCACTTGGCCTTCTGCTGTGTTGGCTTAATTCCTAGATAGGCCTTCCCCTTATGGTCCCAGAATAGTGCCAGCAGCTCCCGGAGATGCTTCTCACAGGTTCAAATCCAATGGAAAACAGTGAGCATCTTTGAACTGTATTCCCTGAAGTCTTGAGGTTCACTCTACTTGAATTGATTGGGCCACATGCCTACCTAGATGCAAGTACTGAATGATGTAATTGGTTGATCAAACCTAGGTTATCCACCATCCTGGAGCAAGGAGAGGGTCTCATCCAAACCACAGAGACTAGAAGTGAGGAAAAGTTAGGCAGAAAATAGTGTAGGTAGAAATGAGGGGCTAGAGTTTCCAAGCACCTCTCCCAGAGGTTCTCTGAGGTGGCTGAGCCCAAGAGCTAGCAGCATGCATGCTTCCAGCTCTCAGTGCTTGGCACTTTCTGTGAGGCATTTTGTTTCATATAAGTCCTGTTCAAAATTTCCTTGCATCTGTTTTGTCTGTAAGTCTAGGAAGACTGCCCTGTATCTAAGACACCTATTTCTTTGCAGTGACAAGTAGGAGTTCCAGCAACGACGTACAAGACCATGACAGTGCGGGACAGAGTGCAGCACTTGCGGACCAGTGCTCTTCTGCTCTGAAGTGGCAGCCATACCAAAGTGTCCCTTGGCACAGCTTACTAAACAATCATTATGAAAAATTGTAAGTGACTTTTGGAACCCCTGCAGTGGGATGGAGATTGAGGAGCAAATGGCAGTGCTAAATTTCAGGATGAAATCCAAAAATTTGGACTTTGATACCAGCTCTGATCAAATGAGATGGCTCGGGGAGAAAAATCTCTGCCTTACTGCAGTGTTTCATATCTTCACTAGCAAATGGTTGAGGGAGCTCTAGTGGCCTAGTGGTAATCAATTGTGATGTCAACCCAAAGGAATGTGTTTATCCACCAGCTGTTCTGCTGGAGAAAGATGGGCAATCCCCTCCCATGCAATTTATTCCCTTTGAAAACCCACTGGAGGGTCCACTACCAGTTGGTTCCAACTCGATGATACATAACAACAATACCAAATCATTGGAACTTGAGTACCCAGACCTATTCCCTAACTAATTCTAATTTGCCCACCAAATTATGAACACACAGAGAATCTTTCTGACCTCACATGCCCACTTTACTTTAAATGCTGGAAAATGGAAACTTCACAAACTTTAAAACTTGATCCTATATTTAATTTACAATTTTGTGAGGATATTATTAAAGGACACATTAAATTGCTAGTTAAGGACCCTCTCGGCATTTGTGCAACAAATTAATACCCTCAGGTTTATTGTCAGTAGCAACCACAATCAGTGGTTTCTTTGTAATATGAAATCTAAATCGGATTTTATGAAATATTCTTAATCTGGAAAAATGTCACCCTACTTTTAGAACCTATTTTTAAGAAATAAATGTGGATCTATGTATTAGTGCTTTTAAACGTCCTGTTAGCTTTCTTCTGATTTGCTAAGATTTTATTCGCCTACATAATGCATAAATAAATCTTCTAGAATTTTCAGTGCTTTCTTGAAACTCAAAAATATTAGTGGTTGAAGAATAGAATCATCAAGTAATAAATATAATCTGAAATAAGAAATGTTGTGCTCTACATTTGAGAAAGGAGAGAGAGTTTTTTAAATATTTTCCAAATGCAAGTCTAACAAATTTACCGCTGGAGTTGGACTTTGACTCTGGGTAGTCTAGAAGTAAGAAGTCTTTTCTAGAAAACAAAATCTTGAAAATTAAATAGACTTTAGAAGGTAGTGTTTCACTGGAGGCAAAAACCCAGATCTTTGCTGATTTTATCATTGGAATGTCCTTGCCATGATGTATAATTAGAAGGAAAAAAAAAAAGAAGAATCTTCGTGATCATACTATATTCTGTCTTAAAAATAAATGTTAAGGTAAGAAACTTTCATACATATTCAAAATGCTTTAATTTAAAAACTTTAGTGCTTGACAGCCTTTGTGCACCTGAGTTGATCGTTTGTTTATTATTTTTAATTGTGATTTTAGTAAAAGTTTTATAAAGAACATTTTTTTCCATTAATCTATGGACACAGTATGTTTTAGAACATGATTACAATACAGCAAGGAGCTCTGGTGTTGTGGTCAGTAGGGAACTATGCGGCTGACCCAAGGTAGCACCTCTCTGGAGATTTGAATCTACCAGGGAGAAAAATGGGCATCTCCTCCTGTGTGATTCCTAGCCTTGGAACCCTGCTGGAGCATTAGCTATGAGTTGATTCCAACTAGGCAGCAGTGTGTATGTGTGTGTGTGTGTGCGCGCGTGCGCGTGTGTGTGTGTGGAGAGAGAGAGAGACAGAGAGACAGAGAGAACGAATATTCACTCCCAACTTCCTCTCTGTAGCCCTCATTTCCATTAATCCTATTCTACCCTTCCTGCCTTCAGGGCTTTTTTGGGGGGCAAATACTGAGCTTTTGACCTTATATGGTCAGTTGTTCTATGATATAAAGACCTTCCTGGTGCTATTGGTCACATTATAGGTCTGGATATTGTGTGGCTAAAAGCTTTGTTCCAGGTCCAAAGAGTGACTCAGGGACATAGTCTTGGACGTCCCACCAGTTTCCATTTGGCCGGTTTGTACTGACCAAGTTTTGCAGATATTTTCTCTTTTCATACTTGAGAAAGTTTTTTCTTTTTTAAAAAAATTTACTTGATCAACCTATTAGTGGGGTCTTGAGAGGAAGGGAAGGACAGGGAGGTATAGGTATCAACTGAGAGATTTATTTAGAATGTTTCTGTTGTACGCTGTCAAGTTGATTCCCACTCATAGTGATCATATAGGATAGAGTAGAACTTGTCCCCATAGCGCTTCGTAGGCTGAAATCTTAATGAGAACAGAGCAGTTGATAAGGTTGAACTGCCAACCTTTTGGATAACAACTTAACCATTGTGCATCAAAGCTCAGGGTAGAATATTTTAGATTAATAGTGTGTTGTTGTTGTTAGGTGTCATTTAATTGGTTGCAACTCATAGGAATACGATGTACAGCAGAATTAACACTGCCCAGTTTAGTGTTTGAGTCCATTGTTGAGGTCATTGTGTCAATTCTTCTCATGGAGGATCTTCCTCTTTGTTGCCAACCATCTGCTTTACCAAACAGGATGTTTTTTTCCAGGAATAGTTTCCCCTGATTGCTTACATGCGCAAAGTCTGTGAGATGAAGTTTTGCAATCTTTGTTTCTAAGGGGCATTCTGCCTGAATTTCTTCCAGTATAAATTTATTTGTCCTTGTAGTAGTTCATGATATAGTCAATATTGTTTGCCAACACTACAATCCAAAGGTATTAGTTCCTCCTGCTTGTCCATTGCCCGATTTCCACATGCATATGAAGTAATAGAAAAGACCATGAATTGGGTGAGGTGTACTTTAGTTTTGAAGTGACATTCTTGCCCTTATTACTTTGTAAGCATCATTTGCAGCAGCAAATGTCCCACATGCAAAATACTATTTTATATCTTGAATATTCCTTCCATCGGTGTTATTTGTGGATATAAGGTAGCTTAGCGGTTTGGAATCTTTCAGTTGCTCTGTGGGAGAAAGACAGGTAATCTCCTCCTGTGGGATTATCTGCCCCTGAAAAACCCACTTGAGTGTCAGCCATGAGTCAGATTTGATTCAATGGCAAAAAACAACAACAAATTAAATGAAATCATCTGTAATTTCAATCTTTGTTCTGAAGTTGCTTATAGATCCAGCTGTGAGGATTTCTGTTGCTGTATGTTGAAATGTAATCCCTACTGATGGTTATAGTCTTTGACCTTCTTCATTAAGTGCCTAAAGTCTTCATCTTCACACATAATTAATATTTCCTAAACTAAAAAGGTTTTGGGAGTGTCAGAGACAGTGCGATTGGCACAGGACAGAGCAGAGTTTAGGGCTGTTGTACATAGGGGAGCTATGAGTCGCAAGCGACTCGACGACACATAACAACAACAACAACAACAACAACAACACACTAAAAAGAAACTCAGTATTAATCTGGCTTAGAATGCCTGCTTTTTTCTGATTTCTATACTCATACCTGTGAGATAATATAAAGTTACTTGTTGAGAGGCAATTATAAATAATTATGTCCAATTTGTTGCAAAAATATGGTTATCTTTGAATTACCTAAGAACAATTGAATTAGGAAATTGAAAATTTCCCGAATCATTTTTCTGAATGTTTTTTTTTATCAAAGAGTTTTTAAAAGTTCTTTTGAGTTGACTTTACACTGAATGTGTTATGTAAACAAGAATTGTCATTCTTATAAAATGAAAATAATTTCTATAAGCAGAAATTGGTGTATAAAGTTCAAATAATCCTCAATAGTAAAATTCTGGTTGTTGGATTCAGTTTATATTCACAATTATACTTAAATTTCAGACTGATCCTAATATACTGGCTGTAAATGTGAGTTGTCAGGGTCAGAGAGAGACTCAGCAATAACGTGTGTTATGCAGATGACCCATCTTGCTTGCTGAATTGAGGGGCACTTGAGGCACTTGTTGCAGAAGATCATAGACTGCAGCCTTCGATATGGTTTGCGTCTCAATGTCAAGAAAACAAAGATTTTTACCACTGGACCAATATGCAACATCATGATAGATGAGCAAAGATTGAAATTTCATCAACAACATCTTACTTGGATCCACAATTAACTTGGTACCAGCAGTTAGGAAATCAGGAAGATATATTGCACTGGGAAAGTCTGCAGTTAGGGATCTCTCCAAATTATTGTGGAGTACGATGCCAGTTTGAGGATTCAGGTGTGTCTGATTCAGGCGATGGTATTTCTAATCACTTGCTATGCATCTGAGAGCTGGACGATGAATAAGAATGAAAGAAAAAGAATTGATGTCTTTGAGCTGTGGTGTTGGAGAAGAGCAGTGAACATCCCATGGATGGCCAAAAGAAGAAACAAATATGTCTCAGAGAGGGTGCAGCTGGACTGTTCTTTGGAGGCAAGAATGATGAGGTTTCACTTCACACACTTTGGGCATGTTGCTAAGAGTGATTATTGCTTGGAGAGGGACATGCTACTTGATAAGGTGGAGGATCAGAGAAAAGACGACCCTCGACCAGGTAGACTGACACAATGACTTTTGTAGTGGTCTCTAATGTGTTAGGCAGGAAGTGTGAGAATGGCACAAGGATAGGACAGAGTTCAGATCTTTTGCTCATAGGATCACTGATCATTCTTGACTCAACGACACCTAACAACAATAAATAAGAATTGCAAATCTTCAGTATTTTAGAAGAGAATCATTCATTATCACAAAATTTTTTCCCCCTGCAACCAAGGCTTTGGTGCCAACTCAAAGACACAGTTTGAATTCACCGACAGGTCCATGGGAGGAAATGGACAATCTCATCCTGTGTGGTTTACTGCTTCTGAAAACATGCTGGAGGGTCAGCTATGAGCTGATTCTGACTAATTGGCACATGATAACAACTACCAACACAGTTTTTATTTTTATTACTCTCTAGAAAAGTATAGCAGAAACAGTGAAACTGACTCAAGATAGAGCAGTGTTCAGAGTTAATGTTTGTAGGGTCACTAGGAATCCAAGGTGAATCAATAGTATATAACAGTAACAATAATATTAAAATATGGATATCATAAAATGTCTTTTTGTACTTTATTGATTATGCAAAAGCTTTTGACTATGTGGATCATATCAAATTATGTCTAACATTGAGAAGAATGGGAGTCCTAAGACACTTAATTTTGCTCATGCAAAACCTATATACCTATACCAAGAAGTTGTTGGGTAAACACAGCAAGGGGACACTACATGGTTTAAAATCAGGAGTACATCAGGATTGTATCATTTCTCTAGATCTATTCAATCTGTATAGTGAGCAAATGAGTTGAGAAGCTGGATTCTATGAAGAAAATGTGGTGTCATAATTGGGGGAAGATTTATAAATAACTTGTTACACAGGTGATACGACCTTGCTGACAGTTAAGAGAACGTGAAGCACTTGCTGCAGAAGATCAAAGACTTTAACCTTTAATATGGATTACATCTTAGTGCCAAGAAAACAAAAAACTTTCACTACTGGACCAATAAGCTACATCATGATAGATGGAGAAAATATTGAAACTGTCAACAACTTTATCTTACTTGGATCCACAATTAACATCCTTGGTACCAGCAATCAGAAGATCTGGATACATACTACACTGGAAAAGTCTGCAATCAGGGACCTCTTCAAAATATTTGTGGGGAGCAATGATGTCAGTTCGAGGACTAAGGTGCCTCTGTTTCAAACCATTATCTTTTCAAACTTGCTTTACCTGAGAGCTGGACAGTGAATAAGGATGACAGAAAAAGAATTTATGCCTTTTAACTGTGATGTTGGAGAAGAGTACTGAATATCTCATGGTCTGCCAAAAGAACAAACAGATATGTCTTGGAGAAGGTGCAGCTAGATTGCTTCCTGGAAGCAAGGATAGTGAATGTACTTCAGGCATGTTGCTATAAAAGACTATTCAATGGAGAGGGACATCATGCTTGGGAAAGTGAAGGGATGTCAAAATAGAGGAAGACTCTTAGCCAGAAGGATTGACACAGTGACTGCAGCAATAGGCTCAAGTGTGTCAGTGGTTGTGAGGATGAAACAGGATAGGACAGGGTTCAGATCTGTTGTTCATATGTTCATACTCTAAGTCATACTCAATTCAACAACACCTAACAACAACAACAACAACGTAAAACACACACAATTCACTCACTCTAGACTATTTTTTAATTTAAGGTGTGTGTGTGTGTGTGTGTGTGTGTGTGTGTGTGTGTACCATCGAATCGGACCTGACTGGTACAGGAGGAGATTGACCCTCCTTCTCCAGCAGAACATCTGGTGGATTCGAATCATGCACCGCTGGGATTGCAGTTCAGCTTCTTGCCACTAGGCCACCAGAGCTCGCCTCAATTGCTCTAGACTTCAAATGAGCAAATTAGTAGATCAGTTCTGAAAACCTCAGTCAATATAAAGTTCCCAGGTGGCATACGATGTGTGGTCTTTATCAAATCCTGCATTTAATGGCTTTTTCTTTTTCTGCTACTGAACACGATGATTGTGGCAACTTTGATTGATCAGGTACTTGAGAGAAATCAATAACCCAGTGACCTGATCCATTGGGAAGGTAGTTAACTTGCAAAGAACATGGAAACTTTTTCTCTAAAGACCCATTAACGGGGGGGGGGAAGAGGGGTTTGTGCGGGGAGAAGGGTGCAACAATGAATGAATGGAATCCCAAAATCTCTGTAGATGTTCATTGAAATGAAAAATAAACAACCTAAATTTAAAAAAAAAGACCCATTAACATTTTTCTGTCTCTGAAAAAGAGGAAAATTTAGAAACTCTCTTGTTCACTCATAAAGGCAGCTATTAAAATTGAGATCCTGGGATGTAAAGAACCACACAGTGGTAGATTTATCACAAGCATGAGTTCTGCCATCTTCCACTTAGGCCAGATCTGGGAAAGACTTGCTTCCTTAAGGAAGAACTTGTATTTAGCAATGTTGGTAAATGAAAAAAATAATTTTACATACCTACAAAATATATGGCAAATACCAAAGGTGTTTTTAACTTTTACATTTTCTTCTTTCCTTAATATAGGTTATGCATTTGATTATTGTTTTAAGCAACAATTTAATAGCATTTTGTTAAACCTGGAATACATAAAATGTTATTGAAACTGACTAAAGTATAAATAAAGCATCAAAATTTAGCAGCAAAAACCCATCGCTGTCTCATTCCTTTCTATGGAAGTAACTACCATACTAGCTTTTCAGGGTTATTAATGAACTGGGGAGATTGAAAAAACATTATCATACTCTAATGAAAAAAATTTTAATAAGTAGTATGGCTGATTTTAATGAATCTTACCTTGTTTAAAGCTATTCCTGGTATTTCTAGCCAGTCTGTTTTTTTATCTACCCACCTGAATATCGTCATCTGAGGTATTATTGTTAATAATTACTATTGAGTGTGATGCCATTGATAAAAGTTTCATTTTATTTTAAAAAGAAGGACAAAAATAGTTCTATCCCAAATCTAAGTAATGCAGTGACTTGTCACCTTTTAGCCTGCAGCTTTCTATTGTCTGATGAAATCAGATTATAAAGCCTAGAAAGCACAAGGGGAATAGCAGTTTGAGAAAACAATGCTCCCATGTGGCAAGAGTTACACTTCTCTTCTGTGAGAAGATAGAAAAACAAGAGCAGCTGTGTTTTGAAAGATCATTTTCATTTCCTTTATGAAAAACTCAGAAAAATCATTGACTAAATATAGCAAAAAAGGTATACTGCACAATGTATTTTCTGTCGATGTTTATGCAATGAATATGATTTTTGAAAGAAAAATGTGTATGTAAAAATATTTTTAATCAGTGTTTTTTTTTACTTCTCTTTTTCATAGACCTGAAGTAGGTTATCGAGTTATCACAGACAAAGGATTTAATTTTTCCCCAGTAGACGAAGCTTTTGTTTGCCAAAAGAAGAACCATTTTCAGATATCCATCCATATCCAAATTTGGGGAAGCCCAAAATTTGTCAAAACTCAAATGGGCATAAAGCCAATAGAAATGTTTTACTTGAAAGCTTTTGGAGTTAAGGTAAGTCTTATTTACAATTCCATTCAGTCTATTTATGACGTTTCTCAGTTATCTATGACTGCATAGTGACTTAAAACAATTGTAGTAATCTATTTGGCTCACAGATTTGCAATTTGTTCAGGACTTAGCCAACAGCTTATTTGTATTCATGAGGCATCAGCTGGGGCATCTCAAACAAGGCTGGATCCATGTTCAGTATGGTTTATTGTCATATAGCAAGTTTGTGTAAGCTATTGTTTCAGAGCTGTGGCCAGGGATCCTGACTCCTCTCCAGGTGCGTGTCTTTGTGGGATAGCTTCTGCTTCATCATGGAATCGTTGATAGGTCTAACAGCCAGTGTTGGCACATGAAGGGAAGCTACAAATATCATAATTCTAAGCTCAGAAATGACCATAGTGTCGCTTCAGTCACATAAGCCACCAGGTTCAAAATAAGGAAATGTGACTGTCACTCCCAAAGAAATCTGGGATCATCTTTAATCCACTATTTTGCTGTTGTTGTTGTTTGCTAATGATTTGACTCTGACTCATGGTGACCTTGTGTAGATCAGAGCTAAATATTGCCTGGTCTTGACCATTTTATCACCTTTAATGTAGTTAGTTCATTTTTGTATCTGTTGTGTCAGTCTGTCTCACTGAGCATGTCCTTCTTTTTTTTCGTTGAGTCTCTACCAATCCCTTTTCTAAGGGATTGATCTTTGAGACTTACTAAAAAAATATGGCTTACTATTTTTTGAATGTACAATATTCTATCACCAATATTATTCTTTGTTGTTGTTGTTGATTGCTGTCGAGTCGAGCACAACTCATAGTGGCCTAAGAACAAAAGACCTAATGTCTTTTCATAACTGTTGTCATTTTGCCAAGTTCATAGAGTTTCCGGAGGCATGGATTTAGGAAGTGTTTTATTATTTCTTTTATTTTATTATTCCTTACAATAGCAATTCTTTATCTCTCTATATAATTCGGTATATGTTCCTGTCTAAATATTTCCTGTGCTTAGATGATGCTACTTTGAGAAGTGAGATAACTTCATACATAAAAATGGGTATTTCTTGACTCAACTTTTTTAATAGAAAGAAGTGAATTATTCTCAGGGACATTAGAGTACTGGATAATGATGTTGGACCCATAGTGAGCTTTGATAACTATGAATATTAGTGTGATTGTAAACCCTCTCTTTCTAAAACTATTTCTAACTTACTTATAATCAGCTTATGAAAGGAGGAATTTTTAGGAATACTGAAGAAATGTGAGTTCCTGCATACTACTTATTTTGTTTGTTGTTTATTTTATTATTACAATTATTTAAAAATAAGCATGTAAGTTCTACAAAGGCAGGCATTTTTATTGTTGTTGTCCACTAATTTTCTCTAATCCTAGAGTAGGGGCTGTAAGTATTTATGTTGTTGTGTTAAGTGCTGCTGAGTTGGAACCAATTCATACCTTGATCCTCCAGCAGGTTTTCAGAGTTTGTAAATTTACAGGACGATACTTTCTCCCACAGAGCAGCTGGTGGATTTGAACTGCATGCCTTCAGGTTGACAGTATCTTACCAATAGGCCACCGGTGCTTCTGCTTCCACTGTGTGTATTACTGAAATACTCTGTTTTGTGTTTTCATTGTTTTTTCTATAGGCATTTATTTCTTTTCTTAGCAAAAGCACACTATTTAAGGCAGGTAGCAGTGCTATATATGTTTTTTTCAGTGATATATCTTTTTTCTCAGTGCTCTACTATGGTAACTTGGAAAAATTTTTATGTTCTTGAACATTATTAATAAGTTTTACTTTTTATTGTTCTGTCCAGGTAGAAGCCACCAATCAAATAGTTGCTATTGAACAGTCCCAAGCAGATAGAAGCAAAAAGATTTTCAATCCTGTTAAGTAAGAACTTACTTTCTGAATACAGTTTTTAATGTTTTATTAAGAAGACCTGTTGTTCAATTTATCTTGCTTATTGAAAATAAAATGTGCCTTAGAAATGAAATCAATTAATACCATAGATATGTGCATTACCAACAAAATTAGTATTGGTGAAACACACTGAAGTAATTGTAAAAAGTTTTAATAAAATTTAGTTATTATTTTGAAATAAATTATTACTACAAGTTTAATCCCTTGAGATAGATTATAAGTGATTTTTCCTTCGTGTTTCATTTAAATTTTTTTAAAAGTTGGGATTTTAACAAAATTTTCAGAAAAGTTGAGTTTTCATTCATTCATTTTTGCATATTTTCCTTCCTCCTTCTCCCTTTGCCCTCCACCAGTCCACTTTGTAGTGCACCTCTTGTTCCAGATTGTCAGCTGTCACACACATAATCCCCACACATACCTGCCCTTCAGACAGTCCTTCCCCTCATCTGTTCCGGTACAGTGTTAATTATCTAGCCACTCTTTTCTTGTTCTCTCCCAAACCCTCCATGTTAATCCTATTTTATAACAAAAGTATTATGCGGTATTTGTCCTTTTGTAACTGAGATACTTCACTCAGCATAGTATCTTCCAGGCTCACTCATGTTGTGCAGTGTTTTACAGGTTCATTGTTTTCCAAGGCTGCATAATATTCCATTGTGTACCACGGTTTTTCTATCCATTTGTTTGTTGATGGGCAGTTGGGCTGCTAGGAACAATTCTAGAAGCATGCAGACTTCTGAGCATAATGAAAACCCTACGACCAGGAGAAAATAAAATAGATTAATGGGACATTCTGAAAATCAAATCCCTATGCACATCATAAAATCTGTCCAATAAGGTAACAAGGAAAACCATAGACTGGGAAAAAGATTTGGCAATGACATATCTGATAAGGACTCATACCTAAAATTTCTAGAATATTCCAGCACCTCAACAAGAAAAAGACAGACAATCCAATCATTTAAATAATATAATCCTGACTGAATGGATTTCAAGGTTCTTATCCACACTGTGCTTACCATTGTTGTCGTCAGGCACTGACACTGAGTCGGCTCTGACCCAGTCCACAGCAGAATGAAATCGCTCCCAACCCTATTCCATCCTTATAACCTCTGCTGTGTTAAACTCATTGCAGTTGCTGTGTTAGGCCATCTCATTGAGGGCCTTTCTTTTTTTCTCTGACACTCTGACAATTTCCCCCTCCTAAAAATTCAATTCGTAGTTTAATACAAAATAGAAAACATAACGAGTTGAACTAGAGAAGGAAATATGGTGATCTAAAGCTAGAATTCTCTCTGTGGAATGACTTGAGGTAGAATCTCCTTTTTGACTTATCTGGCAAGAAAGAAGGGGTACAGTTGAGGTGGTATAAATGGATGAATCATTTTGACTGATGACCAAAAATTTGAAGGTTCAAGTCTACCCAGAGACACCTTGGAAACCGGCCTGGAGGTCTACTTCTTGAAACACAGCCATTGTAAATCCTACAATTCTACTCTGACATGAGTCAGAATGGACATACTCGCGTCTGGTTCAGTCGAAGCTTCTCTCTGTTTGGACCCTGAGTCAATCCTATTCGAATTGGGGAGATAATTGTCACACTGCATGTCCTGACCAGAGAGAAGCTCCCATTGATGTTCTACAAACACAGCTCTAACCCTGCCTGGGATATCTGGATCTTCCTTGGCTTGGTGTGGTCTCCAGCAGAAGGCAAATATCGAGAAGTTCCTGAGACACCTGGGGAAATTCTGTTAAAGATGATGCTACAGCAGCCGTGACAGAAATTAATTCCATCTTTTTTTCTCTCTTGGGTCAGTTAAAGAACTTGCTAATACTATGTGGAACAGAAGACACTTATGAGTCAGAAACTCTGGGCTTGACTTTTGCTGAGCGTTCATTTGTTACCCCTCTAAAGTTCTTCTGTGGTATATTCGCACAATGGAATACTATGCTGCATTAAAAAACAAGGAACTCATGCAATATTATTCAAAATGGTTGACTCTGGAGAAC